GAACTAGAACAGAACTAGAACAGAACTAGAACAGAACTAGAACAGAACTAGAACAGAACTAGAACAGAACTAGAACAGAACTAGAACAGACTAGAACAGAACTAGAACAGAACTGGAACAGAACTAGAACAGAACTAGAACAGAACTAGAACAGAACTAGAACAGAACTAGAACAGAACTAGAACAGAACTAGAACAGAACTAGAACAGAACTAGAACAGAACTAGAACAGACTAGAACAGAACTAGAACAGAACTAGAACTGAACTAGAACTGAACTAGAACTGAACTAGAACTGAACTAGAACTGAACTAGTACTGAACTAGAACAGAACTAGAACTGAACTAGAACTGAACTAGAACTGAACTAGAACTGAACTAGAACTGAACTAGAACTGAACTAGAACTGAACTAGAACTGAACTAGAACTGAACTAGAACTGAACTAGCACTGAACTAGAACTGATCTAGAATTGAGCTAGAAGCAGAACAAGTGCATAACTGGATATAAAGAACGTCTGATACTGTCCTATGATTTTCAAGTTTCCGTTAGATAAGAGATACCCATGCATTAATGGTTTCCGTTTTAATTATTAGAAATTGTTTTCTTTGTTAATGTTTATTCATTAGTATAAATATTAAAAAAAATCTTACTGTTACTAACTCAAACAAAAACTAACTAAAAATACAGCCACTTTCATGACGACATGTCATGCTTACTGACCTGCAATGTATGTCATTGCAATTACTACTTTCATTCCGAACAGTTCTTTTTTTTTCAATTACCTTGAATTATTGTCATAATTTTTTTTGCTATTTTCTTCACTAAACTGCAGAAAAACGAAAAATGTTTTTCTTGTTTTTCTAACACATCAATTAGAAACGAATAAGAAAAACAAATAATTCTTTACATTTACTCTGTTTTCCAAAAGGATGTTGTTCATGATGATTCATCCACACATCCTTTTTTTTTCATTTTGGTTCATTTGCATGATCAGCTGTTTAAGTCGCCGAGTGTATTTATGTTCTGAAAAAAAAATTTTTCATCCGGTTGTGTCATCACGTGTATATAGAGAATAGATTTTTTGTTATAACTTTCATGGAGTTTCATGGTTGTTAAATTTTTATATATATTTTTTCAACCGCTTTGTTGTTGCCATTTTTTTTTTTTTTTTTGCCTTTAGTCCTTAAATTACGAAATAGCCGGCTTTTTTGTTTCTGTGTTACCATAAAAGAAATTTCTTGTGTGTGTATTGAATTTCAATGCAAAAACTTATTCTATGGAATGGCTGTTATAGAGTAATAGAGAGAAGAAGGGTAGTTATTTTTTTATGTACTTTAACAAATATTTCCCCCAAGTTTTTTTTTTCTTTTGGTCTCTAAGAGTTTTTGGGCGCATGTCTGAGATTTTTATTACACAAATAAATTTTTATATAGTTTTTGTTTAAAGAAAATGAGAGACTTAGAAGGTGTTTGGAGTGTAGCAACCCCTATTTTTAGAATTGAATTAAATAATTTCGTTAAAATAAAACACACTCTATAATATGAAGAAGGGGGGGAAATTTACTAAAAGTTTTTAAAATAGTTTCGAAAAATATAGAAAGTTTAAAAAGCAGCGTAAATAAGAAGCAATTTGGAATTGTTAAATCTACATATGTTCGATTTCATGTGTTTTGGAGCCATATTACGAAAATAGTACCAAAAAATTTCTTCCCATAGATTATCATTTACTCATGATCCTGCATGTAAAAATGTATGTTTCTAGATTTAATATTATAGAAAAACGGAAAAGTACTATTTGAAGAACTCAAAAGTACCAAAAAGTTCTCACTTATAGATTTTATGAACGAAATCAGAATCGATTAAATGAAATAATCAAATCTATAGTCTGGTCTATAGTCTAGTCTATAGTCTAGTCTATAGTCTAGTCTATAGTCTAGTCTATAGTCTAGTCTATAGACTAGTCTATAGTCTAGTCTATAGTCTAGTCTATAGTCTAGTCTATAGACTAGTCTATAGTCTAGTCTATAGTCTAGTCTATAGTCTAGTCTATAGTCTAGTCTATAGTCTAGTCTATAGTCTAGTCTATAGTCTAGTCTATAGACTAGTCTATAGTCTAGTCTATAGTCTAGTCTATAGTCTAGTCTATAGTCTAGTCTATAGTCTAGTCTATAGTCTAGTCTATAGTCTAGTCTATAGTCTAGTCTATAGTCTAGTCTATAGTCTAGTCTATAGTCTAGTCTATAGTCTAGTCTATAGTCTAGTCTATAGTCTAGTCTATAGTCTAGTCTATAGTCTAGTCTATAGTCTAGTCTATAGTCTAGTCTATAGTCTAGTCTATGTCTAGTCTATAGTCTAGTCTAGTCTAGTCTATAGTCTAGTCTATAGTCTAGTCTATAGTCTAGTCTATAGTCTAGTCTATAGTCTAGTCTATAGTCTAGTCTATAGTCTAGTCTATAGTCTAGTCTATAGTCTAGTCTATAGTCTAGTCTATAGTCTAGTCTATAGTCTAGTCTATAGTCTAGTCTATAGTCTAGTCTATAGTCTAGTCTATAGTCTAGTCTATAGTCTAGTCTATAGTCTAGTCTATAGTCTAGTCTATAGTCTAGTCTATAGTCTAGTCTATAGTCTAGTCTATAGTCTAGTCTATAGTCTAGTCTATAGTCTAGTCTATAGTCTAGTCTATAGTCTAGTCTATAGTCTAGTCTATAGTCTAGTCTATAGTCTAGTCTTTAGTCTAGTCTATAGTCTAGTCTATAGTCTAGTCTATAGTCTAGTCTATAGTCTAGTCTATAGTCTAGTCTATAGTCTAGTCTATAGTCTAGTCTAAGTAGTCTATAGTCTAGTCTATAGTCTAGTCTATAGTCTAGTCTATAGTCTAGTCTATAGTCTAGTCTATAGTCTAGTCTATAGTCTAGTCTATAGTCTAGTCTATAGTCTAATCTATAGTCTAGTCTATAGTCTAGTCTATAGTCTAGACTATAGACTAGACTATAGACTAGACTATAGACTAGACTATAGACTAGAGTATAGACTAGACTATAGACTAGAGTATAGTCTAGTCTATAGTCTAGTCTATAGTCTAGTCTAGTCTAGTCTATAGTCAAGTCTAGTCAAGTCTATAGTCTAGTCTATAGTCTAGTCTATAGTCTAGTCTATAGTCTAGTCTATAGTCTAGTCTATACTCTAGTCTATAGTCTAGTCTATACTCTAGTCTATAGTCTAGTCTATAGTCTAGTCTATAGTCTAGTCTATAGTCTAGTCTATAGTCTAGTCTATAGTCTAGTCTATAGTCTAGTCTATAGTCTAGTCTATAGTCTAGTCTATAGTCTAGTCTATAGTCTAGTCTATAGTCTAGTCTATAGTCTAGTCTATAGTCTAGTCTATAGTCTAGTCTATAGCCTAGTCTATAGTCTAGTCTATAGTCTAGTCTATAGTCTAGTCTATAGTCTAGTTTATAGTTAGTCTATAGTCTAGTCTATAGTTTAGTCTATAGTCTAGTCTATAGTCTAATATATAGTCTAGTCTATAGTCGAGTCTATAGTCTAATCCATAGTCTAGTCTATAGTCTAGTCTATAGTTTAGTCTATAGTCTAGTCTATAGTCTAGTCTATAGTCTAGTCTATAGTCTAGTCTATAGTCTAATCTATAGTCTAGTCTATAGTCTAGTCTATAGTCTAATCTATAGTCTAGTCTATAGTCTAGTCTACAGTCTAGTCTATAGTCTAGTCTATAGTCTAGTCTATAGTCTAATCTGTAGTCTAGTCTTTAGTCTAGTCTATAGTCTAGGCTATAGTCTAGTCTATAGTCTAGTCTATAGTCTAGTCTGTAGTCTAGTCTATAGTCTATTCTATAGTCTAGTCTATAATCTTGTCTATAGTCTAGTCTATAATCTAGTCTATTGTCTAGTCTATAGTCTAGTCTATAGTCCAGTATATAGTCTAGTCTATAGTCTAGTCTATTATCTATTCTATAGTCTAGTATATAGTCTAGTCTATAATCTAGTATATAGTCTAGTCTATAGTTTATTCTGTAATCTAGTCTATAGTCCAGTCTATAATCTAGTCTATAGTCTAGTCTATAGTCTAGGCTATAGTCTAGTCTATAGTCTAGGCTATAGTCTAGTCTCTAGTCTAGGCTATAGTCTAGTCTATAGTCTAGTCTATAGTTTGGACTATGGTCTAGTCTAGCCTTGTCTATAGTCTAGCCTACAGTTTATTCTATAGTCTAGCCTATAGTCTAGTATAGCCTATTCTATATTCTAGTCTGTAGTCTAGTCTATAGTCTAGTATGGCCTAGTCTATAGACTAGCCTATATGCTAGCATATAGTCTAGTATGGCCTAATCTATAGGCTAGCTTATAGTCTTGTCTATGGTCTAGTCTATAGTCTATCCTACAATATAGTCCATAGTCTAGCCTATAGTGTAGTCCATAGTCTAGGCTATAGTCTAGTCTAGCTTATAGTCTAGGTTATATTCTAGTTTATAGTCTAGTATATAGCATATTCTATAGTCTAGTCTATATTCTAGTTTATAGTCTAGTCTATAGACTAGTCTATTGTATAGTCTATAGTCTAGCCTATAGTCTAGTCTATAGTCCAATTTATAGTCTATAGCCTAGTCTATAATATAGTCTAGCTTATAGTCTAGTATATAGCCTAGTCTATTGTCTAGTTTAAAGTTCGGTCTATATTCGAGTATATAGTATAATCTATAGGCTACTACTTGTGTTGTGGGTTCCATATTGATCCCAACAATATTCAACTAAGCTTCCCTTTTTCAAACAATTCCTCCCCCTTCCGGCACCCCCCTTAACACCCACAACCTGTTTCGCAAAAACTCATTAACTATTTATAACACTCTGCCACTCTCTCTCTCTCATTCTGTCTCTAGCTTAACTCTCATTTCTGAAACGCCATAATAAAAGAAAATGTCCTTGCGTATTGTTTAAAAAAAATCTAACGAAAAGAGCTATTTTCGAAAAATTCCCCAATATTTATAAACAGTTTGTCTTGGTCTTTCGTTGTGATTAAAACGGCAAATTTGCTGGTACATTGTTTTTTTTGACAAAAAAAAAAAAAAAACGTCAAAACTGTTTACTATACAAACGTTAAAATTATTCTTTATATTAAAATAGCAACAAATCTCTACACTTTTGTGCTCTTACTCTCTGTGGTTAACTGTCATATACATACTCTCACTGAGCATTGTATTAAAGAAAGGAAACAAGCAAGAAAACATAATAACCGTTAACTCTGACACTCTGTATGTGTATTTGGAAGTGTGTCTGTGTGTGTGAAGGGAAACGCAACTACAGCCAACTTCAGTTACATTTAGAATCTATAGAACTGTCAACATAAACGCATAAAGACAACTAACTTGTTTAAACGTCTTTGCGGTATAGTAGAGAAAAAAAAACGTGTAAAAGCAAAAAAAAATTATATATATTTCCAAAATTAAATTAATTTATAAAAAAACCATAAGAGTTTTTTTTTAAGAAAAAAATTTCAAAAGAAAAAACGAAAATTTAAAACGTCTTACTTTTTCTACGTAAAAAAAACCATCCAAAAAGTTTACAATAATAATTATACAAGAATCTTTTTTTAAAAAATTTTCTTAAATAAAAAAAAACCCCAAAAAAAAAAGAAATTGTGTAGTTTGTTTTTTGAAACCAGACACCGCCCTTTTAAAGATTATTAATTTAAATTAATAATATATAAACCAATTTTCCTTTTTCAAAAATCAATCAGAAAAAGCTTAAAAAAGAAACATATCGCTTGACATACAATCCTCTTAAGTGTTTTTTATAAAAAAAAAATTCTCCAAAAAACCAGCGTGTTAAAAAAAAAAAGTGTTTTTGCAGTCGCTAGCACCAGAGTTGGAAAATCGTAAATAATCTTAGTTATTTTTGAAACAAAACACGTTTAAAATCAATAAATTTTAATCATCATGTTGATTGGATTAGTACGCGATTCTGTAATGCAGTGCTTCTGCCATACATGCCGGGCTCCCATTTTGCCAGCTGGTAAGAATTTTTTTTTTTAAATTTTATTTAAATCAATTTTTTTGTTGTATATATCATTACAGTATGTTATAGAATATTTAAAAGCAACAAAACCATTATTTTTTCCATTTTTCTGGTCCTTCGAGCCCAGACTTTGGTTTAATTATGTATAAATTTTAGGTCCTTGTTTAAGCTTAAATCTTAACAAACAGTTTTTGAAAGATTGTTGGATGAGTTATCTCCAGAAGTCTGTAGAAAATTGGTCCTTCGAGCCCAGATTTTGATTTAAATATGTATAAACTTTAGGTCCTTCGTATCAAGTTGTTTAAATTTAAATAATAACAATCAGTTTTTGGAAGATTTTTGGATGAGTAATCACTAGAAGTCCGTGCAAAACTGTTATTAATGGTCCTTCGATCCCAGATTTTGGTTTAATTATGTATAAACTTTAGGTCCTTCACACCACATTGTTTAAGTTTAAATAATAACAAGCAGTTTTTGGAAGATTTTTGGATGAGTAATAACCAGAAGTTCCTTGCAAAACTGTTATTAATGGTCCTTCAAGCCCAGATTTTGGTTTAATTATGTATAAACTTAAGGTCCTTCGCACCAAACAGTTTAAGTTCAAATCATAACAATCAATTTTTGAAAAAGTGTTGGATGAGTAGTCAAAAGAAGTCTGTAAAAAGCTGTGGCAATAGGTCCTTCGAGCCCAGATTTTGGTTTAATTATGTATAAACTTTAGGTCTTACGCACCAAATTTTTTTAACTTAAATCATAACAATAAGTTTTTGGAAGATTGGTGGATGAGTTATCATCAGAAGTCTGTAGAAAATTGGTCCTTCGAGCCCTGATTTTGGTTTAATTATATATAAACTTTAGGTCTTTCGCACCTAATTGTTTAATTTAAAATCCTAACAAACAGTTTTTATAAGATTGTTCGATGTATGATTACCAGAAGTTTATAGAAAACTATGACTATTGGTCCTTCGAGCCCAGATTTTGGTTTAATTTGGTTTGGTGCGCAGCTTAGGTTCTTCGCACCAAATTGTTTAAGCTTAAAAACAATCTGTTTTTGGAAGCTTATTAAACAAATAATCACCAAATTGCCATTTTAGAAATGGTCCTTCGAACTAAGATTGCGCTTTAATTGTGTACAAACAAGTGGTCTTTGAACCAAAAAGTTTAGGATATCTATGTAATCAATCATTCTGTTTGCTTTTGGAATTTGAGTCTGTCTGTGAAAATGGTCAATCGAAACAAGATTTTGGTTTAAATATTAATAAATGGTCCTTCTAACCAAAACGATTACGATTTCTATGTATAATATATTAATCCTCACACAGGATTATCCCCATACACCACTTGCAAGCTTGTAGAATGATTAGTCAACCAATCGTTTTTTTTTTCAAAATGGTCCTTCGAACCAAGATTTTGATTTGGGGGATTATTAAATAACCAAATCACCAAATGTCTGTTTTAAAAATGGTCCTTCGAACCAAGTTTTCACTTTAATTATATATAAACAATTGGTCCATCGAACCAGAAAGGTTAAAGTTTCTATCTAATTAATCCTTCTTTCTACAGCTTTTGGAAGATGAGTCTGTTTTAAAAATTGTCTATCGAACCAGGATTTCGATAAACAATTGGTCCTTCGAACCAATTATCTTTCTATATATTATATAGTAAATCATCTCCTTACAGCATTTGGAAGATTGTTTGCGGATTAATCGCTAAAGTCCCATTTAAAATTGTCCTTCAAACCAAGATTTCATCTGAAGTATCAAAAATTGGTCCTTCGAACCAAAAAGATTAAGTTTTTTATCTCTTCTTTATATTTAAGCTTCTTATTATAGCTTTTGGAAGATTGTTGAATGACTAATCACCAGCAAACTGTTTAAAAATGGTCCTTCCAACCCAGATATCAGTCTTTAATTATAAACGATTGGTCCTTCGAAGCAAAATGTTTCATCTTTCTATCTATTATATATAGCAGTATATCAGGTCAACTTTTGTGATGACTGTTGGATGATTAATCACCTACAAACTGTTTAAAAATGGTCCTTCCAACCAAGATTGTTTCTACGAACCAAAATGTTTCATACATGTTGTATTATGACAGTTATATCATATGGAAGATTGTTGAATGATTAATTCTCAAAGTGTGTTTTACAAGCGGTCTATTGAATTCAGATTACGATTTAATTATAAACAATTGGTCCTTCGAACCTAAATTGGAAGATTCTAAGATGACTTATCACCAAACTGAGACTTCTTTCGCTATTAAAACACTTTTTTATAACATTTTGTAAAAGAAATATCAATATCATCTATCGGTTCTTCGAATTATTATTCTTAAAGTAAACAATGTTATTTTCGTTATATCAGTTCGAAGAACCATTTATAACATCAGTTCGAAGGACCAAAGTCTTTACTTTTAAAAGTTAAAATGTTTTTGAAACAAATTTTCTTAAAATTTGTTTTCTAATTGAAGAAATTTTGCAATTCAAACACAAATAATAGTCGACTGATATTTCCTATTTGCAAAATAACAAACTTTATTAATAGTGAACATTTATGGACAATTTTTGTCCATAAATGTTCACTAATGTTGTTGATTTTAACATGCTTTCAGTAGACAGAAGGACAGACAGACGGACGGTCTTTGAATGTAATAAGGACCCGGAATATCTATAATATTGTAGGTCTACGACTAATGTGTTTTATTCCGCTGATATTAGGGGGAATGTTAGAATGAAGTTTTTTTAGACTGAAGATTGATCCATTCATATTGATTTTAACATGCTTTCTAAAGACAGAAGGACGGTCTTTGTGATGCAATAAGTTCCCAGAATATCTATAATATTGTAGGGGTATGATTTATGTGTTTTTTGACTCAAATGTTAGATTGAATATTGATCCTTCCCTGTTGATATAAACATGCTTTCAGTAGACAGAAGGACAGACTGACGGACGGACGGTTTTTGAATGTAATAAGGACCCAGAATATCTATAATATCGTAGGTCTACGACTAATGCGTTATTTGCTACAGAAATTAGGGGAATTGTTAGATTGAAGATTGATCCTTCAATGTAGATTTTTACAAGCTTCCAGTAGACAAAAGGACAGACTGACGGACGGTCTTTGAATGTAATAAGGACTCCAGAATATCTATAGTATTGTTGGTCTACTACCAGACATGAATCAAGTCAATTTCCGCTATACACTTTTAAAGTGAAGCCTATATAGGAGAAAGTTCTTTAACAATCGAAACAAATAGTAATCGAACGAAGCAAGGTCTTGTTTATAAGAGGGGTCTGAGGCAAAACTTTCCAACCTCTTTATTTCAAATAGATTTTAACAAACGAATCATTTGAATCTAGTACAGATTTAATCGGATTGTCTCTCCCGATTTCAGCAGTTTATAATAGATAGAACCGTTATGGTCTCACTCGCAGATATTTAGATTGGTGTTGGTACTCTCTCTCTCTCTCTCCGAACGTTATGGAAAAGGTCAAATCAGGTGGTTCAATAAAATCATCTGTCAGACCTCAAGGTCTAACTGGATTATCTATAATATTAGGGGAAATGTTAGAGTAAAGAGTGTTCTTTAACGAAACGAATAATAGTCGAACGGAGCAAGGTCTTGTCTACAAGAGGGGGCTGAGGTAAAACTTCCCAACCTCTTTATTTCAAATAGGTTTTAACGAGTGAATCACTTGAATTTGCTACAGATTTCCTCGAATTGTCTCTCCAGATTTCAGTAGTTTATAACAGCTAGGACCGTTAGGGTCTTACTCGCAGATTTTTGGATTGGTGTTAGTATCTCTCTTCCAAATTGTAAGTCATTAGCTAAAATGAAAGTTATGGAAAAGGTCAAATCAGGTGGTTCAATGAAATCATTTGCCAGACCTCGAGGTCTACCTGGATGATCTATTTGATGCTCTCGGAAGATGCTCAGGCATACTTATAAGTTTCCTCAGAGAGCAGATAAGATTGCTACTAACAGTAATTAAAGGACACGTTTTGTATAGAATAACTCTTCTGAAGTAGACATTGTATTCATCAGGAAGAAGATGATATTCTTAAAGATGAAACAGTGCCCCATCTATTCCGCTACTGCCCGATATTTACCGAGAATAGAGAGCCGGTTACTGTAATGATGAGTCATCGGTCATATATACCAATTTCATCACTTCCCTCAGTCTCCTCTTGGCCTGACCAATAAATCAATATAAAATTAATTACAATTTTAATTATAAATTAAAATTGAGCAATGACCATATAAATTATTAATTATACCACAAATAATATTGCATACTTTTGTGGTTTTCAATAAAAACAATAATTGATAGCCTACACTTAGGCGTCCAAACAACAATAATACAAATATTTACTGCAATAAACAATTTTAATAACAAATTTGAATATTTAAATTGCCATAAAATCGATCTGTTATTATAGAATATGATTATGATACATTAACATTTGTATGATGGTTAAGTAGAGTATACTTTTAGGGGTGATTTAATAAAGTATTTATGAAACTAAAGTATTATTTTTATTGTTGGAAAATATAACAATTAAAGTTTAATTTATTAAACAATAATGATTGTTTTTCGTTATTAGTAGTTTTTTTTTTTTTTTTTAAGGTGTGTCTAAAAGTATACTACAAATTATACAAAAATAACTTTAAAAAAAGAAAATCCATAAATAAATTATATACATATGTATATTTGTTGTTACTATTATAAACTACCCTCTAGAGTTTAACAAATGTATTTTATTGTTACCATTTTTAAACTCCCGCAAGTAGGCAATAAAAACGCGTTTTATTTTTGTGTTTCGGTTGATGGTATTGTAAAGTCCTTGTGTGTGTGTGTGTATGAATTCATGTTTGTACTATTATTTTATGGCTCCATACGACAAGACCAAAGGCGCCAAAAAATGTTGTCATGATGATTGAACAAAAATGAGTCATGCGATTAAAATGGTGGTCGAAATACTTGCTAAAGGACTT